TATAAACTGTAGACACAGTATTTTGTTGATCCCATGAGAGAAATTAGTAAATTGAAGTTAAGCCAAACAAGTTGAACTAAAAGTTTAATAACATTGCTTGTAAACAGAAAAAGAAACAGTGTTAACGAAGTTTTTAAATGTTGTTGATACATGTGTGTTTTGCACTGGGCATTAACTTGAAGTATGTAAAAGTTAAAGAAATATTTATCAAAGATGGACAGGCGGTTTGATTTGAGTAACAATGCTGTATTGGCTGTAGGATTTGCTAGAAAACGACAGATGTCAGGTGATAAACTGTGAGACTGGGAGGGTAAACTTTTTTTTTTAACATGGATTTTATTCAGCCAGCAGGTTTCTAATTTGACTGGACATTCAATCCTTTGTGCCCTGAGGTGAACTGTAAACACAAGTGGCTGTGAAGTGCCTGCTCAGACAGAATGAAGTCATTTGTTAGTTCGTATATTTTCCACTGCTAGAGGCCATAATACCTGGCTGCGAAGCAAAGTGCCTCTCTCTTCATCCTGATGCATTAGGCACCTTAAGCACTGAAAACATGTAATTTTTATTGACTGATTATGTGTTTATAGACATAGCYTTACCCAAAACCAGTGGATTTTAATAGCTGGAGAATCTTATTTTTTCTCTGGTCTCTGATTTGAAAATCATTTTGTTTGACAATGACGAGATTAAGCCATCTTTCAATGTAAGTAATATTATCTCTATTAACTCCTCAATCAGATCACATATGTGAAATAAAAATGTGAGACATAGTTTGATTGTAGGATTATATTTTTGTGGCTAGAGAGGAGCATTAAAGATGGCAATTTAACTTCATCTGCAGCATGTGTGTTGTAGTAATAAACAGCACTGGCTTACATTTTTAGCTTCAATAACAGGAATAAGTTCTGTTTAGCACACAATACATCAAATATATAATTCTGCTTTTTCTGACATTTACTGCAGCTAYCTTCCAGTGAGGGGAAAAACATTGTCATATTATGCTCTTACACAGCCTAGACTAGCTTCACATAGATATTGCARGTAAAAAAACAACAACAATGTAGCTGGAAATTCAGAGGTARGTCTCAGTAGTCAGGAATGTCAGTGGCTCTTGCTCTCAAACAGGAGGGGATCGATACAGACAGTGGCCTGGAGGTTGTTTATGTTCATATAACTGTAATGTGAGCTAAACAGAGTTGGTTATTGGATTTTCTGATCCCTCTGCAGATATTCTAAGATTATGGCTTGTTGTATCGCACAGAAGTTCCTGCAGCATCTTCCAGTCAATATGAAGTGTTCTCAAAAGCTGCAGRGAGCTGCAGTTAGCAATTAAACACTTATGAATTGCTACAAAATGCTGTCTAGGAGGTTGAKGTGTTAGACGGTAGTCAGTTTACCATGGTAAATATAATGGTGTATGACTTTTTCTAGTGTGCTGTGAAGGCTGCAGACCACCCACATAAACTAAAGAATAAATATATCATGCAGACTTGTCGATTTATTTCTGTAGACTGTTGTGTTTCTGTTTTCTTCCCACATCTTAACACAACCCTGATGAATGTGTATTTTAAATTCAAACAATAAAGGCTGTGGACTAATGCATGACATTCTACCTTAAGCTTTAGTTTTTATTTATTTAGTTATTATTTAATATATTTTGTAAAAAATAGATTTTCTGTTTCATTTTTTTCCACATTTGCGTCTTAATTATGTACRAACATTAATTGTTTCTTTTCTTGCTTTTGTTTTTAAATGATTATTTTCAGGCCATTAGATGGCAGCATTGACCTTTGCAATGCATTTTAACCCAAATAAACACATTTTTTTATGTATTGTTAAAAGAAAACAATAATTTATAGAGACATTTTTAATCAATACTGGGTGTTGGCAGCAAGTGGTTTAGCATCACTCCAYCAGCCCTGTTAGTGCTGCTCAACACCTCAAACATTCAGGAAAAATCTCAGTTTCTACCCATTTTGAAGCTACGTTAGCATTGTTTCTGTGTAATATTCAGAGCTATCAGTGGTAAAGGATTGTTTATGAAGTATATTTATTCTTTCATGTAGGTTGTGTTATTTAGCGCTTAATTTTTAAAAGTGAGTCACTGGAATTTATATATAAAGTAGGTATGAAATTTATGTTTGAATTCCTCTGGCAAAAAAACATTCAGTTAAATTATTAGGGTAATTGAATAAAAGTATGTTTTAAAGCTACTATTTAAATGTATTAGATTGTTGATATCRTTTTTAWTRGTAGACTTTTTCTGATGATACAGTTTTTAAAACTTTCTGAATAAAACTGGTCTTGTTTTCATGGGAATTAAACACTGTTGAATGGTGAAGATTTTCCAGTTTACTCAGCAGCAGGTTTTTGCTTGTGAAGCATTTAGAAAGCTGACAGATGTTACACAAAACCCACAGGCTCATTTGTCATTTTCATCTCTTTGTCAAATCAAACAGTTATCATCCCTAGATAAGAGAACTGGCAGAATGTTTTTATAGCGTTGAAAGCTATGATGAATAARGTAATATTTTGGTGAATGGGCACATGGGAATAAAAAAAGACAATGTTGTAAAAAACATGCACTAAATAAGTGTTATCAATTTCAGTAGCATAGATCTATTAATTCATAAACCATATGGATTATTTGAATACAGTTTATT